GGGCACACACGCACACGCGCCTGGCATGAGTTTTAAGCCACCGGGCCCAGGAGGCGAATTGCGGTCGACTACGTGGGAGTCCAGCGACATAGCCATTACGCTAACTGCTGGTTCCCTGCTTGGGTCTTTTTGATGAAAGGAAAATCTATGAACTATCCCTGTATGCTTCCCTCAAGCCTTAAGGCAAATTACCTCGCCCTCCTGGCACCTGAGACTAGGCGAGTCTTTTGCTTTTCTCTTAGGGCTGCCCGCTCATGGCCAACTAACTGCCTACCACAGTAGGAGTCCATGAAATGGTCCAATTAAAAAAAATAAAGAAATTTTGGGGCTGGCCCCCTGGTGCAGGGGTGATGGGCTCAAGAAGCTAGATCCCACATGGTGACTGTGGGGCAAGTCTCATCTGGTCAACCAGATGTGCCTTGCACACATAGGAGTGCCTAAGATCTAATAGGCTGGAGGACTGGAAGAAGGGGGTCATACCGTAATGAGACCCTGTAGGAAGTGCTCCTCTCTCTCTATCAAGCTATACACATACAAGCACTATCATGAATACATTTTTGGTGCGGGTGAACTCTAGGAAAGTTGCAGTGCCCACTGCCTACAGACATTAAAGTGACACTTCCCATCCCACCAAAAGAAATTGTCAAGGAGGGAGATAGTTGAGAGAAGGGGTGTGTAATGCCTCATGGATCTTTGAGGTTTTGGAGGACTATCCCTCAGACTACCTTAAATCTTGGCAATGCCTTGGGGCTACTCTGTTTCTCTTCCAGGATCCTCCTACCCTCCTGGGGTTGGACTACTGCTGTCATTGGGCAGCCAACCCTGTTCAGATAAGAATTGCAGCAAGGATCCCAGGTGCATTAGTTTTCTATTGCTGACCAAATAGATTATCACAAGTTTAGTGAATTAAAACAAACAAAAAAGTATTATTTCATTCATTTTTTACAACACATCTGTCTGACATATTCTTGTTACCATTACTGTTTGTATAGATGGTAACCAAAGTCAATTTACAAAGTACTAAGAAATGAACCATGGCGAATGGTCTCTAAAGATGATCACCAGATTGGGCCAGCACTGCTTTCTCCGACTGCTGTATCAGAGAGAAATACACTTTTATTTAGGTCACTAACGTGGGATTTCTGTTAGGTCAACTGAAGCTATAGCCCAACTAATACAGCTTCTTGATATAGTCGTTGCACGAGTCCTATTATTTCCTCCTCTGCAACATTTCCCTGCATACTCATTGTCTCCATTCTCACCATTGTCATTCCACTAATTCCTTTTCTCCCCTCAGTTTCTAAAAGAGCTGGGTAATTGGGCAGACCTCTAATCTAGTGGTTCTCAAGGTGATGTTGCACCTGAGGGGTATTTGGCAATGTCATGATACATTTTTGGTTTGGGAGAAGAGAAAAAGTTCTATGAGCACTTTGTGGATAGAGACCAGAGATACTGCTAAATATTCTACAATCTGCAGTAATCCCCCCTTATCTGTAATTTTGCTGTCTGCAGGTTCAGTCATCTGATGACACAGTACAGTGGAGACTTTGGTGGGGGGAGGGAAGGAGAGAGAGAGAGAAAGACCATATTGACACAACTTTTATTACAGTATGTTGTTACAATTATTCTATTATTTTGTTTGTTTGTTTTTATTCTATTTTTTAAAGCTTTATTTTTTATTTTTTAAAATTATTTTATTTAACTTTATTTATTATTATTATTATTTTCCATTTTGATCAGAGAGAGACAAAGAGAGAGAAAAAGTGAGAAAGCAAGCTACCAGGTCTGGGACTTGAACTGCGATCAGCCATGTGAGAGTCCAGCACCTTTAACCACCACCTCACTTGGTGGCCCCTTGTTTGTTTTTTTTTAAAGAGAGATTTTTGCTATAGGGTGCATGTGCTTGCCAAAAAGAAACAGGGAGACAGAAAGTGAGAAATCATCTCCTGGAGGGATGATCATACCCTAATCCCTTCTCCATCATTCCCTTCTCAGGATTTTGGGCACACGTGCATATGCGCTCAGCCTGAGTTTCAAGTCATCAGTCCAGGACTTGAACCATGGTCAACCATGGGAGAGTCCAGCGACATAACCATTACACCATCTGCTGGGCTCTATTCTATTTAATCATTCGTTATTGCTGTTAATCTCTTATTGTGCCTAATTTACATATTAAACTTTATCATAGTATGCATGGATAGGGCAAAACCAGGATGTATAGGGATTTTTTTTTCTTTCTTTTTTTTTTGAGAGGTTTTCGCTATAGGGCGCGTGCGCTTGCCAGACAGAGAGAGATAAAGAGACAGAAAACGAGAAATCATCCCCCAGGGGGGATGGTCACGCCACAATCCCTTCTCCATTCTCCTCTAGGGATCTTAGGCAAGCACGCACAGGCACCCGGCGTGAGTTCTAAGCCACCGGGTCCGGGATGCGAACCACAGTCGACTACGTTATGCTAACTGCTGGTTCCCATAGGGTTTGGTATTATCTGTGATCAGGCATTCACATTCATATATGGGGGTCTTGAAACATATTCCTACAGATGCTAAGGGACCACTCACTGTACAAATGAGTTCCCATGAAAGACTTACATAGTCCAACATGTCAATCAATAGTGCTGAGGTTGAGAAACCCTGATCTAATTGATCTCCCACACTCAGATCCAAGCATGCCCCTCGTGGTGTACACCTGTCAGAGTCATGGCTTCTTAAAATCTTTTGAATAGTCTTCCCTGTATTTCAGGAAATTCCAATACTATGAGCCCTGCCTCCCCAAGGAAGGAGTTCAGACTCCAATTCTCAATATCCTTTGTAGTCAGAGCTAGGACTAGTATCCCTTAGTCTAATGCACCTTCTAAACCTATGATTCAGAAGTGAACAAGGTGAGAAAATAGACTTTTAGTTTAGCATTTTGTCCTTGCAGGAGGCTGCAAAAGCAGGTGGCATTGGCTGGTAGCAGTGACAGTGGCAGCCATGCCCCAGTGATTCCTGGCAGTGGTGACAGCAATTTCCTCCACCTTGGGGCAGTGGCAGTAGGGACTGTGATAGTTTCCTCATCAGGCCAGTTCTTCGGCATGGTTCTGAGCTTCATTTTTGGAAGCTTAGCCCAGAGCCACTTCTGGGGTCCACCCTGGAATTCTCTGAGCTATACAGGACACTACCCTTTTAATACACAGCTTTCTGCTTAGTCAAAGTCAGCTTCTATTGCTCAGAACTAAGAAACCTGATAGTAAAGACTCCTCTGCTTAAAACTCCCCAGTGACTTTCCAGACATTTTAGAATGTGTAGTCAAAGTCAGCTTCTATTGCTCAGAACTAAGAAACCTGATAGTAAAGACTCCTCTGCTTAAAACTCCCAGAGGGACTTTCCAGACATTTGAGAATGTGTTCCAAACTCTTAGCATAGCCCAACGCTCTTTATCTAGGATATGCCCACTCTGTATTTCACTCTGGTCAAACACCTATCCTCAGCCTTATATTGCTCTCTACTAAAGATCTTAATGGCACAGCGACATTCCTCTAGGCACCTAGCCCCCATATCTGGTTTATCTCTATTATAGATGACACTTTTATTATTCGATGGCGACATTGATTCAAGTGTAAATTCTGCATGGGCTGGAGTATGTCTTTTGGGACTTTGAGTCTCCAGCATCTAGGTAGGTAGGCAATCAATACATGTTGATTTAAGGAAGGAAGGATGGGCAGGATGTGGACAGGTGCTGCCACCTACTGGAAGAAACTTTAACTCTTGAAATGATTTTACAATGGTTCTCATAAAAGGGAAACTTGATTCTCTCTTAAGTTATCATGACTATTACCACTATTGTCAGAGCCCTTATGGTAGCCAGTCTCCAAAGTGGATCTGTTCTCCATCCTACTTTTGGGTTGACCCTCCCACACTGAAGAGTAGGTTTGTGACCAAAGAATATGACAGAAGCAATGATATGCGACTTCTGAGGCTAGACATTGTGGCATTTGATCTGGTGTCTCTCCTGGAAAACACACTCTGAAGGCAATCTGCGACCATTGTCATGGGATGCTCAAGCAGACCTATGGGGAGGCTCACGTGGTGAAAAACTGAGGCCTGCCACGATCACTGAGCGAGCCATCTTGCAAGTCTATCCTCCAGTCTCAGTTAAGACCAATGACTGCAGTCTTGAGATGGATCCTGACAGTCATCTACGAGACCTTGAGATCTACGAGACCTTGAGACAGAACCACCCAGTTACGCCTTTCCAAATCCCAGGTCTGTAGAATCTGCGGGACAACAAACGTGTGTTGTTTTGAGCAGTTAAACTCTGGGGTGTTTGTTACGCAGCGGCAGAGTCCTAATACAGTGTCTTACAGTGTATTAGGGTTACAAGCTTTGATGTATTGCAGAGGGGAAAAACCACTAAAGCCTTGGCTCAACCTGAAGAAAGAGGCCACTTTAGAAGCGTGGTAACGGCCTGGTCCTGAAAGGCGTCCAGCTGTCGTCACGGAATCCCGGTCCGCGCTAGCGTAGCTCGGCGCACACCTGCAATGAGGCTGCCCGGCCACCGCATCCCGAGAGCCGGAACCCACGTGCTCGGCGGTCGCGCGCGCCTGCGCAGTGTGCTCCTCGCGCTCCCACTGAAGAAAGAGGCCACTTTAGAAGCGTGGTAACGGCCTGGTCCTGAAAGGCGTCCAGCTGTCGTCACGGAATCCCGGTCCGCGCTAGCGTAGCTCGGCGCACACCTGCAATGAGGCTGCCCGGCCACCGCATCCCGAGAGCCGGAACCCACGTGCTCGGCGGTCGCGCGCGCCTGCGCAGTGTGCTCCTCGCGCTCCCAGGCAGCGCCGTCGCGCGCCGAGTCTCGGATCGGAAGCCCCGGAGCCGCCCGGGTCGCGGGGTTGTTCCAGGGGCGCCCTCTAGGGAGGCGCGGGGCGCGCATGTCCCCGGGAGGCCAGCAGCTGCGG